CTAACATACATAAATTTACATAAAATCGTAAACTAACCTCCAAGATCTCGTCTCCGAATCCCATACAAAACCTAGAGGATGACATGATGAATAACTAAAAATCTATAACTATCAAACAAAGAATTCAAGTATATTAATTAACCATTTAAATAAGTATATAATATAAGAGATAAAATACACTAACCCATGTATAAAGATATTAAATAGGATTGGAAAATCTTCGAGATCTCAATGCAAACTTATCNAAAACGTAAAAAGCTAAATCAAAATATCACAAAAAGTACGATAACTGTCACTATAAGCTTGTAGCCTTTAGCTGCAATTTACACATAAGAGTAACAAAATTTTCCATGAAATTTAAAGCTTTCACAAATTAAGTATAGATTTCTAAANGAAACGAACTAACCTTGTTGAAGAACCTAACACATACGCATAACACAAACCAGAAGAACATGAAACATTGTTTACAGAACATTGTTTCAGCTTGAATGAANCTGTCATGAAAGAATGGAACTCGTGGGAGATGACAAAAAGAACAAAGACAGAGATGTAACGGGATATTTCTCTGCAACAAACCTCATAGTTGAGGCACTAAACAAAAACAATAAATCTGATTAAGGTCAGCTTAGACTATATTGTTATTTTTTTGTGTCTTTTCGGACATTCATATGGTATTAATGATTTATGGATTTTCATACTACCCTATCATCTTTATTTGTGCAATGCCATGGTTGCCTCTCTTATGAGAAGGTTTTGTTTTGTTTTTTATTCTTTGCATCATGCAGCTATGCAGATAAGAAAGTTGAATTGATTAGTCAAAGTTAAACATGTGTGGTATTTGATGGTGGCTCGATACTCCAGACGTAGAAGAAAAAGAACCTTGAGAAGTCTGCAACCCACCCTCCCTTTTGTTTGTAGTTTTTCCTTNGAAACTTCCTGGCTCTGAACAATAGAAATATGATAAACGGGATTCATAGCTAGAATGAAATAAGTTTTCTGATCTAGTATTCTAAAGTAAAAGTTCCAAGTATGTACAACTCGAGCTGAAAGGGGTAGCTCCACTTCGTCCAGCATAACGAAAACACCTAAAAAAACAAAAACAACAGCCGAACAAAAAATTAGAATCGATCAAAGCATGAAATATTTTGGCAACATGAAG